TGAGTGTTATCGTATGGATCAACTATGTGATATATATGCATGTATACATATGTATATACATGTATGCATATAAATATTTTATAGTAAAGCCTTTTAGGTTTGTTAAGGAGATATGTATATACATGTATGCATATAAATATTTTATAGTAAAGCCTTTTAGGTTTGTTAAGGAGTGCTTAAATGTTTATTTTATTTCTTTGTCCTTTTTCTTCAGTGAGCTGATGGATGGTTCCCCTTTTTGTAAGATGACGGGTACCAATTCATTTTTCAGTTCATCATCTACCCCGTCCAGCTCTATGATTTCTATAGATAGCTCCTGGGAACCCAGCTTAAGAGACTGGGGATATACTTCTGATGAAACTGACCCAAGCTTGATAGTAGCTAACCATATGACCCCAGACTCATCGGAGGTTGAGCCCGTAGAAGTTATTATGATAGATTCATCAGAGTTTGTGGTTGATCATGCTGAGGACGAGGATATAGTAGTAAAAGTTATTCCAGTTGATTTATTACCTTCATAAATCATTATAATTTCATCCGACCCCTCTGATATGGAGTCCCTCGTAGCTCAGGTTCCTAATGATGACCAAGGACTTACCCCCTCTGAGGGTGAGTCGAATACCCTGGGGATTGGTCCCGACCTCGATCTGGAAGGATGGGGGACTTCTGGCATTAATCCTGACCCCATGTCAGACTCCGACCATAACCATGACACAAAAGAGACTGAGCCGACCAATGAGTCTAGCTCCAGCAGCTCCTCTTCTTCGAAGAAATAGAGTATAACTATTAGGATAATTTTGTAATATCAGTATATGGGTTTTCGTAATCACTCTTTTGGTATATATAGAACATTTTGGTAGAAACTATGTATATATGTAAACCATATACTCAGATATATGTATGGACTACAAAGTTAAATATTAATAATATACTTTTGGTTTGTAAATATTGATTTGTGTTATAATATTGAGTAACAATTGAATTCATAATTGCTTAAATTGCATATATGTGACCGACTTAGGAATTTTTCTTGTATAATAGTTGACTGAAATATTTTATTATTTATAGGAAGATATGGCTTCAGGTAATGAGCAAACCCCTCCTAACGGAGATAGGGATTTAAATCAGACGATAGGTGAAATGATGAGATCTAGAATTACGCGTGCATCCACCTCCGGAAACTCAATAGATAATAATGCATTAATGGATCTGCTGTAAGCGGTGACATCTGTAGTCACCAGACAACAAGATCAAATTGATCGTAATCGGACAAGTGGTCAAAACGAGGAGCACTCAAAATTAAGAAGTGGCATGAGAGAATTCAAGAAACTATCTCCACCCATTTTTGAGGGAACAACTGATCCTATGATTGCTGAGCATTGGATCACAGAAATGGAGAAGGTCTTCACATACATGAGATGCCCTGAAAAGGAAAAGGTTGATTATACGGTGTACATGTTAAAAGACCGCGCTTACGGGTGGTGGCAAATACAGGTTAGGACATTGGGTGAGAAAGCATACAAGATAACATGAGAGGAGTTTAAAAAGATTTTCTATGAAAAGTATTTTCCTTTAACTGTTTGTAAACAAAAAGAACAAGAGTTTCAAAAATTGGAGCAAGGTGACAAGACAGTAGCTGAATATGAAGAGGAGTTCACTTATTTATCAAAATTTGCCACTCATTTGTTGGGTAAGGGGGAGGATAGAGCACGTCGCTTCGAAGAAGGGTTTCGATCAGACATTCGGAAGGCGGTCAGTGCATTAGAACTCCCTACATATGGAGAAGTATTAAAGAGAGCTTTGTTAATTGAGAAAAATAAAATTGATATAAAACCAAAGAATGAGATGAGCAGCTCCTACCCAAAGAAGCGGTTCTGGCAAGATAATCGTGGTGGAAGAAATAAAAATTAGAGAAACAAAAAGCAGAATTTTGGACGCAGAGAGGAGAAAATTCCGAACCAGAAAACTTTGAGATGTGATGTTTATCATAAACTGGAGCATGAAGCGAAAAACTGTTGGAGAAATACTGGAGCTTGTTTGAGATGTGGTCAGAAAGATCACAAAATAGCAAATTCTCTTACAACAATCATCTCGGAATACCTTCCAGCCTGGCCAGTCCAGTGGTGGGAACAAACATCCTCAAGCCAAAGCCCGAGCTTATTCTCTGACTGAGAAGGAAGTAGAAGCAAACAAAGACGTGGTGACAGGTACGCTAACTTTTGCGTCGGTTCATGCTCGAGTACTATTTGATTCTGGTGCATCACATGTGGTGACAGGTACGCTAACTTTTGCGTCGGTTCATGCTCGAGTACTATTTGATTCTGGTGCATCACATTCCTTTATTGCTGCACAGTTTGTTAAGAGAAACAAATTATCATGTGATACCCTACAACAAGAATTGCTTGTTAGTATACCTGATGGTAGCATATTAGTATCAAATCAAGGTTGTAGGGGTAAAATTTATATTCTCGATAAGGAACTCCCCGTAGAATTAATGATGCTAGAAATGCATGATTTCGATATCATATTGGGAATGGATTGGTTATCTTTAAATCATGCTTCTATTTTATGTCGAGAAAAGAAAGTAGTATTCAAATTTCCTGGTCAACCCGAATTTTGTTTTGAGGGCGGTAAGTCTCCAGAACCCTTAAAAATCATCTCAGTCTTTAAAGCACATCGAGCACTAAGGAGTGGATGTATGAGTTATTTGGCTTTAGTTGAGATGGTTGATGATGAAAAACCAAACTTAGAAGAAATACTAATTGTCCGAGAATTTTCAGAGGTATTTCCAGATGAACTTCCAGGAATGCCCCCAGATAGAGAGGTTGAATTTTTAATTGACCTAGTACTTGGTACGAGTCCCATTTTTAAGGCTCCTTATCGAATGGCACCTGCTGAATTAAGAGAACTCAAGATACAACTGCAAGAACTTTTAGAACAACCACACACATTGCACCTCTGGTATATATCAACCTAAGATCTGGTGCCTCTGACTGGAATGTCATCCACCAGCTCTTCTAATTCCAAGGACACATTCTCTGGTTCATTCTGAGTGTCATTAGCCCAATTCCACTCTTCAGCTTCCAAGAACTGAACATCCCTACTAGTGATTACCTTTCCATACTTTAGCTGATATATTCTGCAGGCCTTTGACACAAGGCTGTAGCCAACAAATACTCCTGGTTCAGAATTTTTTTCTAGCTTGTCTATCTTGACCTGTGGAAATATAAGAGTACGTAGCATAGACAACCAAACACCTTCAAGTTTTTTAGAGTTGGCTTGACACCAAACCATGCTTCAAAAGGTGTCTTCTTCTCCAATGCCCTTGTAGGTAGCCTGTTCAGCAGAAAAACTGCTGTATTTGCTGCTTCTGCCCAAAGTTCCTACGACAAATTCTTCTCATGTAACAGACACCTGGTCATCTCCATAATGGTTCTATTTTTCCTCTCACTAACTCCATTTTGTTGTGGAGAGTACGGGACAGTGAGCTGATGCTGGATTCCAGCTTCCTCACAAAGAGTTAAACCTCTGTGAAGTGTATTCTGTAACATTATCAGATCTAATGACCTGAATCCTACAACCACTTTGATTCTCAATCCATCTTTTAAACTTCAGAAACACTTCATCAACTTCTAACTTTTGCTTCATAAAGTAAATCCAACACATTCTTGTATAATCATCAATAAAGATAATGAAATACCTGCTGCCACTTAGTGAAGGAGTTGCTTGTGGACCACAGAGATCTGTATGGATCAGCTGCAGCCTCTCTGTAGCTCTCCAAGTTGACTACTTGAAGGGAAGTCTGGCTTGCTTGCCCATCAAACAAGCTTTGTAGCTTGAGAGTTGCTCCTCCAGGTTTGGTAATCCTTTATTCCTTTTGCCATCTCATTTTTTTTGCATGAACTGCAAGCCTTTGTGGTGAAAATGCCCCAATCTTTTGTGCCATATCTCTGAATCATTGGCCTGATATTTGAATGCCACTTACTCCTTTTCGAGAGGATTCAAAGAAAAACCTTTTTGCTGCATCTTTATCTTGAACAACTTTTGGCCTCTAGAATCAAATATCAAACATTTTCCTTCTTCAAATGTTGCCTTAAATCCCTTTGCTACCAACTACCCCACACTTAGCAGGTTCTAATCAATCTCAGGAACATACATTACATCAGAAATCAGCTTCATCCCTGCACAACTCTTCATAGCCACAATCCCTTGACCCTCTACTGCTAAGTATTCTCCATTTCCAATTCTCACCCTTGATTTTATTGACTTATCAAGGTTTCTAAACAGTTTCTTATCACTTGTCATATGGTTTGTACAGCTAATAGGGGTGCATTCGGTCCGGATACGGCTCGGATATGATGCTTATCATATACATATCCGTTTACCCATCTCGGATACAGATACGATATAGCTCGGTAAAAAAAATTTATAACCATATCCGCTAAAATCGGATACGGTTACGGATATACATGCGGATATATAAGCGGATTAACCATATCCGCTAAAATCGGATACGGTTACGGATATACATGCGGATATATAAGCGGATATGCATGCATATACGAAACAGATATGAGAAAACTAGATAGTATTGAGAAAAACATAGTTCATGTGATACAAAAGAGTTTGTTAATATGTCCATTATAATTGAAAAGTTAAGATTAGACATCTTGATCATCAAAATTAATCACAAATTCATAATCTAAGAATCGAAACTATCGTAAGAGTATGACAAATATGTATTCGGATATTTCGGATACGGATATTTCACTATAAAACCATATCTGTAACCATATCCTATCGGTTATAGATTTGAGTAACCATATTCGTATCCTAACGGATACGGTTACAGATATTTTCTCGGATACGGATACGGTTTAGCACCCCTAACAGCTACTATCAACAAGCCAACTATCACATGGAGTGCTAGAAATGAAACAAGAGGCAATAAACAACTGATCTACCTTTTGCTGGACTGCAGCATGTGCTTCACCTTGCTGCTAATCTCCCTTCTCCTTGCAAAACTTCTCAATGTGTCCCATTTTTTGACATCTCCTGCACCTTACATCTGGCCTTCTCCAACATCTAAAATGGGGATGACTCTTTTTACCACAGTGTTTGCGTGGAGAATATCTTCCTCCTTTGTTGCCTGCACTGTCTTCTCCTGCAGCAACCTCTGAGTTACTATCACTTCCCTTCTTCCCTTTCCACTTCTTCTCTTTTCCTTCAGAGCTGTGTTGCACTTTGGCCCTTAAAGCCTCTTCAACACTTCCTTTCAGCCTCATCGACCTCCTTTGTTCAGGTGCTTGCAGAGCACTGACCAATTCTGCCAGCTTGATCGGAGACAAGTCCCTGGTATTCTCCAATGAAGCAATGGTTGCCTCGTACCTCTCAGGCAAAGAAACAAGGATTTTTTGCACCAACCTATTCTCAGAGAGGTCAGTGCCAAACATTCTTGCCTTGTTTGCAATGTCAATCAACTTGGTCGAATACTCTTTGATTGTCTCAGACTCTTTCATTTGCAATCTCTCAAACTCCCTGACCAAATTCAACACCTTCTTGCTCTTGATCTTTTCATCTCCTTGGTACTCTGCTTTGAGGAAGTCCCATATTGCCTTAGAAAAAAAAAAAGCCATAATTCTACTGAAAATGGCTGGTGGAACAGTAGTATACAGACAGGCTTTGGCCTTGGCTTTTCTAGTTTTTCCCTCCTTGTGATTTTTGATTTGATTCAGGGTTGGATTGTCAGGAAGTGCAACCACCTCATAGTCGTCTTCTACTGCTTCCCAGTTTTCACAACCCTCCATGTAGGCTTGCATTTTTACTGCCCAAGCTTGATAGTTCTCCTCATCGAACATTGGTGGAGCCAGGGCAGGAAGACCGCTCGAACTTGCTTCCATGTTCACTCAGCTTCTTTGAATGCAGACTCACCTCTCGATCACTCACACAAGCTATTTTCGCAGCCCCTTAAGATCAAGGCAGCTCTGATACCACTGTTGTTATTTGGAAGGAGATGGACAAAGAGAGTAGAACTGAAAATGAGAATATTTTACTGATCGTAAAAATGCAGAATAAATACATAATGACCCATAACTGAATTCCTTTTTTCTGCTACTAACAGGGACACGTTCCTAGACATTTGACCTGGAAAAACAACAACTAACCTCCTGAAAAATAGACTAACAGCTAGTGCTCCTAAAGACTAGGACCTTCATGAAACAAAACAGAAGACAAAGTAAAACAACAACTCTTAATTCACTAACAGTAATATTTAAAAAAAGAAAAAACCAGTATCAGACCTTTAAGTAAAGAAACACGGCTATTGGATTATTAAGTGCTGACATGTCTTTATTAAGTGCATTCTGCTAATCTTTTCGTTGATTTATAAATAAAATAGTACTGATTCTCTCTATTCCAAAACTTTAAACAAGAGAACCGGGATTATTAACAATTGAATTCTTCTTTCTTCAAAATGAATTAACTGTCTTAAGTTATGTTTCTCTTCATTGTTGAGCACGAGGTGCATGATTGGACACATTTAAATACTAGCATCCGTTACATTAGCGTTTCGCAAAGCTGCTGTATCTCAAGATGGCAACATCTCAAAAGCCAAATAAAGATTTTCTGCTTAATCTACATTCTACAAATTCTTGTCTAATTTTTATATGGTTGCCAAATTGCTGTGTATAGCACGGCTTACAAAAATGGTTATTGCAGTGCCTGGATAGGTGGCAGTATCCTGGCATCTCTGGGATCATTTCAGCAAATGTGGTTCTCCAAGGCTGAGTAAGTTTTTCCCTATTTTCTGTTCTTGCAGGATCCTACAAATCTTTGTAAATCTAGCACCACGATAATTTTTAGGGTAAATTTCACAAACTCCCAAGAAGTTTGGCTCATTTTGAGATAACATGAAAGAAGTTTGGACATGTCACTTTAAAAACTCAAAACTTTTGCTCTCGTCTTAATCCCCGACTTTTTGGGTGTTATCTGAAAAAGTTTCGGAAGTTCATTGACATTTCCAAACTTTTTTGAGTTATCTCAAAATGGTCTATCTTCTTTGGGGTTTTGTGAATTTTACCCTAATTTTCACCATGAAAGTCACATATATGCACTTAGATCCGCGACCTGCGAAGTTCTGGGTTAAAAAAAAATGAACTTAGAGCCAGATGATGCCTTCTGTTGGATGTCAAATCACTTAATTTATCCATAATTCATAATGAATTTGTATCTTGCTATATCAGATATGAAGAGCACGGAGTTTCATATATTCAACGGAAATGTCCATAGGAGTTATTAGATCTAGAGCAGCATCAGATACTTCACTGACACCTTTTTTTCCGACGTATTTGGAATCTTATTTCAAGTATATGGAAAGGAGATTTTGTAAAACTAAACTTCGTCATGAGGAATGTCATTTCTGGTATTATTTCCTCACATAGTGAAAATACATTGTCATGAGGAAGAAATGAAGAATGTCATTTCGGATGTTAGTTCCTCACATAGTATGAAAAATGACCATTTTCTCTTTCAAGTTGCACTTTCACCATTGTCTGGAAGATGCCTATTTTCAGTGCTTTATATATAAATCAGGCTGAGCATAACTTGAATTGGCAGGAGCTTTTAATTTTATAGAGGGTTAATTGCGGACATACCCCTTGTAGTGTCACCCAATTTCGATGAGACCCCATACAGTTCAATTTGTATAAATCCTGAGTGCATTTTTTTTCACTCTTAAAATCAATAAAAATGTTTTGAGGCGGATAGACCCTCTACAGTTCTATTGGTGAGGATGAACCCCCAATTGCTAATTCTTTTTAGTTTAAAAGAGTCCAAAAAGCTCACGAAGGAGGTGTACTTGCACCTAGGCCAACACGACAGGGGGTTCTATCCGCTACAATAGAACTAGAGGGGGTTTATTTGCAATTAATCCTTTTATAAAGATGAAATATTCGACGGAAAAGCCACAACCAGTTCTACTGTTACTTATTTCTAGACCGAAGCACAATTAACTCTTCTTATCAGAACAACTGCATCGTGCAGGGCTTTTTGAGCCCCATATATGTGAAACAGGGGAGGCATAGATATTTCACTGCCCCCTTAATCTATCAGACATCCCTCATGGTGGGCTGTTCTGCTAGGATTTGGAGTTAAGCGTTAAGGATTTGGAGTTAAGTTTAAAATAAATTTTGGCCACGTTGTGAGGTTTTGTTTGCGTACAATTTTATGGCTGTGGTGATGTCTACTCATTGCACTATCAACTCGTTAGATACAAGATTATCATGGAATTGATCAACAACATCGCCTTTATACAGTTAGATACAAATTTATCAATCTTTGAAACAAGGATTACAGTGGCGGATCGTTTAGCTCCGAATCGCTTTGGAGGAAAAATCAGATTATTTGGGGGAGCTGGCGTGGGTAAAACAGTACTTATCATGAAATTGATCAACAATATTGCCAAAGCTCATAGAGGCGTTCGCTTATTTTTGCAAGTGGGGAGGGGGAAAAAAACGTCGTTGGCATGTTGTTTTCATGATCTTTATAGGTGAAGGATCCTTGCTCCGTTGAAAACGATTTTGAAAAGGTTGGATGGATGTAAGCAAAGTAATACTAATGGAGAGTGATACTTTGATAAATTAAATTTTTGTTGAATGGCATCACTAGGGACCCAACAAGTTTGTAATAAGTCACCCTTTGGACAGGGCCAAGAATTATTTGCTTAGGTAAGATACGTTTAGAATCGGGAGATGATATCTAGTCTCATATTGGAAACACAACCAGAGATGAATATATAATTAAGTACGTTTTTAATCATGATTCAAACAAGTTTTATCAACTTAACGCAGTTTACATCCAAGTAGATTAGCCGAGTCTATCCACGCTCTCGCGCTGTTGCGCACAGTACCAAATCAGCACTAAAGCTCATTTTCACTTATTTCATGCCCAGTGTCATAAATTTGGCTCCAAAATTCATTCCTCATAGGAACATGTAAGTAAGGTTAGCATCACTTGTCACTTGGCTTCTTTATCAATACTTGGACCTTCCAAATTCCAGAGACGGAAATATTCTCTCTTACATGTGAATTTGGATCCTCTCCACTACAAAAAAGTAGTGGAGAGACCACTACTTTTAATCTCAATAGTTGATTAGGCGGTTATGATACAATTCAAATCTAACACTCAGTAGACCCCTGTGTATTGCACTCATTCCTAATTTGCACTCAAAGAAAAAATAACAACCATCAACTAGATAGTTAATGGTTGTGATTATGTAGTGGTCCCTCCACTACTTTTTAGATAGTGAAGAGGATCCGAATCCTTTCTTTGCAACATATTGCCAGTACAAGCCACTTCGTGACAACAACGACGAAGAGGTTACTCCATTCAGGCATATATATATGGGGTTCCAAGTGTTAACAATTAAAAAAAAAGGATTAACAAGTAGTTACTCTTGGCCTACTATCATCTAACCCTTCAAAGGAGACAACTTCATCATTCTCTGGCTCCTCCTCTTCGGCGATAGTCTCTAAGCTTGTTGGTCTCCTGAGCTTCACTACAATGACCAGCTTTGGAGGAGCAACTTCAATAAAATATCCACAGCTACCTTTTGCCATTTTCAAACTCGAAGACGAAGAAGAACAAGAAGAAGGAGAAGCCCAAAGTACCTTTTTTCAGCAAAATTGAGCAACAATTCGAAGGAAATTAAATTATATCTAAAGAGAGAGATAGAGATCGAAAGAGAGGAATCCACACCATTAAATCCATCGATTCTATTGAAAGAGATGACTTGCAATTTTGGAGGTGGCTGCTCAAGTGCTTATGAGGAGCACAAGGATCACAATTTTATGATGGCTTTTGGATAAACTAAACACTGACCAGTTCAGCGTTATGCTAGAGCTTAATATCTTGAATCTTAGTAGGTGCAGTGCATCTTAGCTAGTCACATTCACAGATTTCTTGGCTGATTTGGTTATATAAAAAGTATACACACGTTTACGTTATAATTTTGCTATTGCAAAATGACGACGCAACAACTACGCCTAGAACGCACGTTGTTCTCATGATTGCGAAGCTCACGGTTGCCTCATGCGATGCATGATGGGCCGCGTTGGGACCCATGAAGGATCTGAAGCTGAGCCCGTTCTGCCTGTGTGTCTAGTTGAGGGGAGCCCGCAGATCTAACTCGTTTGCGTGTAAAATTGGGGTGTGTTTGGCAACCGGAAAGTTAATGGAAAGTCAATTAATAATTAAAAACTGACTGTACTTTAAAGTAAAGGGTAAGTAATGTGAATGTTTATATGAGCGAGAAATTGATGTTTTATTTTCTTTTTAGTCTTTTCCACTTTTCGCCATCTATTTTCTAAAAAAATTCAAACAATACATAAAGCAGATGCCCCTAACAACCGTCACCAACTACGCATCTGTCACACTTTCCATTTACTTTTCGGTTGCCAACATGCGTTTTAAGTTTATCATTGAGGATGTGAAGAGCTTGAAAGCCAACTCATAAACTCATAGATAAACTTCTAGCTAGTAATGGAGTCATCAACCCACAATAGGATTAATAAATTGAGGCTTTTTTTTTGTTTTTGTTTTTGGGAACATTATATAAGATTTATTTTCTGTCTTATATATGCTTCCAAGAATCTATAATCAATCTTTTATCCAAGCATCTAACTCGTGATCAGTGACAAACCAGTGGAACTTAAGGTTGAAAATTAGATTAGGATCGCTACGGATTGATCGTCTTATTCCACCATGAATAAACGTGTACCTTGAAATTCTGATGTTATATTATTCATCATGCAGATCAGATGGTCTTAATTTGGATCTTTAGAACTTCAGAGAGCGGGAGGAGGAGGAGGAGGAGGAGAACTAAAAGTCTGCACCACTTAATCCAGCAGAGCAACAATTCAAAGGAATTTAAATATATGCAAAGATTTAGAGGAGTCTTCACCCATTTGAATCTATTCATGAATTGCAAGAGCCTTGCAATTTAGTTCAGTAATATTATTAAGATCCTTGAATCTCAGTAGGTGCCGTGTATCTAATAGTCGTTGTCCCTTTATTAGTCACTGATTTCTTGGCTGATTTCGTGGTATAAAGTGTTACACATTCATCGTAATAATTTGCTGTTGCGAGATGACAAAGCAACAACTAGTATATCGCACGTTGCTCTTACGATTGCGAAGTTCGCGGCTGCTATGCGCGATGAATAATTAATGGACCGGGTTGGGACCCATTA